TTCAGCCATTCAGCTGGAAATGGCCTGCTGGGGGAGTTCTGTGTGACAACAAATGGTCCTTTGCACTTAATAGTCTTTATAAAGAGGCGGCGCTTGAAGCTCAGAAGTTCAGTAGGGTGATGCTTCACAAAGTTCATTTCCATATCCATTGTCACTGTCTGAATTCAGGTCTGTATTAACAGTACTTCAGATAATAATCTTCCATCTGGCAATGGTGCCTATAATTTTTCCTTGCTTTAAACACTACCCCATACAATTAATTGCCTAGGGAATCTTTATAGCTCTGATAAACACACTCCCCTGCTAAACAACCTTAGGGTGTCAAGATTGAGTATAAACTTAATATACAACTTCTTGCAATGGTGATTGAGGATTTTTAGAGTCTGGTTCCAATCTCCTTTTTCACCATCTTTGAAAGATCATAAAACTAATTATTAGTCAGTAAGCTGGAGGTCTATAGTCTGTATCCAGCAGGAACAACTTACAGTTTCATGTTTTAATTTTCTTCACATAATTCCATTAGATTGTCCTAAGAAGCAAGAAGAGGCTAGTATTATTCTATTTGTATAGATGGGAAAACTGACACCCAGACAAAGTGGATAATTTGTACAGGACACAAGCAGCAAGTGCTGCCTGGTATACCTTGCTTTGGCTCATTCACATATCTTCACCTTTTGCTCACATGCTACCCTTTGCTTTGGACCAGGCTTTGCAACATGGAAGGTTTAACACTTGAGTTCACAGAAACGAAGGTGCTTAAGTTGAGCCTGTTCAGATGTGTTTTATTAAGTGCTCTTAAAAATCAGGTTTCACATAAGTTTCTACATTTCTGGCTTCGCGTGAAAGATCTAAAGGTCTGGCAAATTGCGCCCACATTCGCACAACATCCAGTGTAGTGAGTGGAAGCCAGCTCTTTTGGCCAGGGGTGAGCTGACGTCTTCCCTGGCTGCTTCTACTTCATGATGCCGTATGCCTGCTCCTCTTGACTCACTAGGTTACCTGCTCATCCTAGTAAGCATTTAAGTTTGCAAACTTTGATTTAAAAAAAAAAAGAGAAAAATATCCATCCACGTTCTAAAGATAAGATGAAACCTTTTAATTGAGGAAATAATATGTGATTATTATGTTTGAAGAAAGTTTTGTTGTTTTATATTGACTTAATTTTCCAAGGAGAAGAAGTGATATTATTTTTTTATTTTTGACAATAGAGCAATTTGACCCAGAAATCTTAGTGACAATCCTTTTGGATGAAAATCTTTTCAGGACCCTTTATATAGGAATTGATGGGGTGATTAACTTATAATTCACAAAAATAAAGTGAAAAGGAGAAGTGCAGGTCAATGTCTGAGTGTGTTAAACTACAAGGACAGCACCACTGGCAAGTGATTGTTCCCTTTTAACTGCTTTTCTAATTTTTCTTAATTGGATCCTTTGTTTTCTAATTGGATAGGGAGAACCATCATATGGCTTTCAATTATTAGCTCTGGCATGGTGATTGTGTCATATGGCACGTGCTAAGTAGTCAGACTGTCAGCATATAGGACAAAATGCGTACCATCTCCAAGAAGCTTTCTGTGTAAGAGAGGGGTACCCCCTTCCCCATGTCCTGCGTGAATCCACAGAAGTCCATGCTGAAATGGGATGTACTAACTAGCGTGGTTTTCCAGGGAGACTGTACTTATGCTTCCATTATCTTAAGGTAATAATTTCTTAAAATACTTGTTCATCGTAATATAGAAATGCTTCTAAGAGTACAAGCTTATAATTTCCTTCCTAGAAATTGTGTGTGTGTGTGTGTGTGTGTGTACACACATGTACATACATACACACATGCAAACAGATATGCAAGAAAGTGCCAGGGGCCTCAAAGTAATTTGTTTCTTCTACCCTATGGTGAATTTAGCGGTTCTCTTTCTAATAAAGTTTCACCATGGTTTTCTTAATTTACAGCTTCCATTGGATTTCTTTTGCCTTCAGGATTAAATCTAAATATTTTATTATGACCTATATCTGACCCCAACATTTTTCTTCAGTTCTATCCTCCAAAATGGCAGGCCTGCACTACAACTTCTCACTGTCCCTTGGAGACAGTGGGTCTTCCACAATTCTGCTCAAATCATTCCTGCTCCTTAGTATGTCTTCTACATTTTCCATTGTCTGGTTAATCTTATTCATTGGTCATGATTAGATTGAAAGGTTTACCTTCCCAGTGACACTCACCTGACATCCAAAGCACGATTTATTATTTGTTGTTTTGCAATCACTGAGCTTGTTAGCATCTCTGTACTAGCTTCTGCTCATTCCTTCACTCAAATATACTTTTTAATCCTTAGAACTGGACAAACAATATTCTTTGAACATCTCTGTGAATGAGTGTTGAGCCCTGGGGCTACAAGGTTACTAAGATGGCTGTGGTCCCCAATTGCATTGACTTGTAACTAATCCTTAGGTGATTGTCTTCCTGGCTGGACTCTGAAATTACAGAGGGTAGGAATATCTGCCTTATTTTATATTTGTTCAGTAGTGCTTAGACATCTGGCTCAAACAAGATGAGGAAGAAATACTCATTGGCTTTTCATGTTTTCTGGATGGAGAACATAGATCAGCTTTATAAAATCTCATATCTTAGTGAATTAACCAATGCCACCTACAATCCTGGCTTTTAAACCTGGAACAGTTAGTTGAGATAACCATGGTTGCTGACTTTGAGACATTATGGAATCTAATGACCTTTTGGTCTAAGCCTCTTTATGCCTTTAGTGTGTACATGTCAGACCCAGTGATGGGCACTTTGGCTCAGCACCATGGAAGTCTTTTCCCAGAGAGGAAGCACAATCTCTGATTAAAGGCCCTTAGCAAGCGGGGGACAGGGCACAGCTGGGGTTTGAATCCGGCTAAATCCCATCAGATTGAAAATCAAGAAGCTGGTGCTTTTGAAGATTATAAATCTGGAAAGCTGTGGAGACGAGGGGCTGGGAGTCCCTGCTCAGAGCAGGTAGTGCTGCTTTTCTTTGGCTGTTGGTGCTGCTTCCTCTGGCTGAAGCTTCCCAAATGGCTTTAAAGATGGACACTTGAAGGGATAAGATTTTAATCTTGGGCACCTACCCCTGCTCCTCCCCCTTTGGAAAAGAGAAGCAATTAAAGTCTTGGAGAAGACATAATTGAGGCTATAGATTGTCATGGAAATGAGGAGGACTTGAAATAGAATGACAGAAACTCTTGTTCCATGGCTCCATGTTTTTCTGAAAGGCATAAGTACAACTTCAAATATAAGAACAGTTTGAACCTGGCAAGTCTTTTAGCTTCCTGTTACCGATGACTTTAAAATAGGTTTTTATTGATTTTAGAAAGGAAGGAAAGGAAAGGGAGATGATAGAGATAGAAATAGAGATAGAGATAGAGATAGAGACAGAGATAGAAACAGAGATGGAGATAGAGATGGAGATGGAGATAGAGATGGAGATCAATGATGAGAATTATTGATTGGCTGCCTCCTACTAGGGATAGAGCCTGAAACCCAGGCATGTGCCCTGATCAGGAATCAAACCATGACCTCCTGGTTCATAGGTTGAGGCTCAACCACTGAGGCCCACTGGCCGGGCTGTTACCAGTGACTTTAGATTACAAGGTTCTGCCTCATGTGATTTTCCTTGGCTTTGTGATATATGTCCTGGTTGATAAAGCCATGCTTTAGCATTTATTGTGGTTGTTTCTCTGTTCTTGGCCACAAGCTGACTCACTGATGCCATTGCCAAAATGAAGACATTCAAGAGGGCAGGGGAAGTCTCTCCTTCCGCAGGCAGTTCTGTGGCTGCTGGAGCCGCATGTACCTCCAGCTGTCCCCTGAGCAGACTGTCTTTGCCGAATATTTCATCCATGGCTCTGAGCTCATTATTGCTGTAAGTGTTTGCTCTTGGATTCGTGCTTCACGCATTTTATTTACATGCTTTATTTTCCATTTTATGAACAAATCGATAACTAGGCTTATTCTTTATCGCACTGGATTAGTTTTATTTATTCCGTTTGAATTTGATTAAAAAGCTGTCAAACATAAGTCTACATTTTTATCCGAAGTCTATATTCACAAAGCTGGGTCTGAAATGTGTTCAGCTAGAACATACTTTTCAAAAGAAAACAATGTTTGCTACATTCTAGACAGTTACTCTTTTGTTTATCTATGACAAGGGAAACTAACCATCAAATGGAGAAAGCAATCCAAGTCTAGTCAAGTAATCCTTAAGGCATTTGAAAAAAATGTCTTCTAAAAAAGTTTCTTTTCCCAAGATTGATTTAATGTAATTCACCAATAAAGCATCCTCAGAAGCATAATAAAAATCCTATTCGATACATAAAATGACATAGCCAGGGAAAATAAGGATATACAGTTTGATGAAGCTTCAAAATGGATGCTAACATTAAAAATGAGCAGTCATGCAATTCCTGTATAATATAAAGACCACAATTGCAGGGCACTAATTTTGTCTCTAATTTATAAGACAGTATGTTTATGGGACTGCAAATAGTATATATAAAGAGCATATCCAATGGCAAATGTTTTGAACTGTCATTTTTCTTCAGAAAAAAATTCCATTCAACAAGAACTTATACTTACATCCCACTCCTTAGCACCAAGGATAATCAGACTACATTTACACATACAAAAATGTTCTTGAGAGATGTAATATGTCTATTTTTATTAAGAACCTGACCTCCTTTGCTCTATTTAAAAATTATTAATTTCTGCCTCCCCTCATCTTTTGGTTTTTCTCACATATAAGTAGGAGTGTGGGAGCGTGCGTGAAGCAGCCAGGTAAGGAGAAGGGCCACCTGTGCCATGTAGATACTCTCAACCTCACTTACTCACTCACTCACTCACATATCTACACACACAGAACCACACACCCAATGCCTGGGAGCAGCATTAAAATGACTTATTTGGATATGTGTTATACTCTCTATAAGAGCACTGACGGGGTTAATGCAGAACACATATAGGCAAATATTGTCAACTATTTTATTCAAATGTTTGGAACTTAAACACAAAATCATCATTAAGTTTTCACAAAATGAGGCATCTGTTGCTTGAAAGGAAAAAAATATTTCAGAAATATGTTTACAGAAATGTAACAATATTAGGCATCGAGACAGATGTGAACATATTCAGTAACTTGTCTTGTCTGTCAGTCTTCCTCCGAGCTAAAGATCTTCTTGTACTCGCTCAGCATGAGCTCCGCTATCTGGTTCTGGTAGACCATGTGTACCGCCATGTTCCCCGTCTCATTCTCAGCTCGCAGAAGGGTGGGTCCAAACACAATCCCTAAGCTCTGGGTGGACATGAGGTTCTTGGAGGCTTTGGCCACTATCCTGTGAAGAGAGAGATAAGGGAAGAGAGAAAAAAATTCCATTGGAGTTTGAAGTAAAATTGTAGCTACTTTTGAATGATAAAGTTTAGTGTTTTTGAATTCTTTTTTTTTAAATTAAATTTCAGTTTAAAGAAGGAAAGTAAGGGTGCTGACTGGCTTTGGCAAAACAGGGAATGCAACATAAGCAAAAATTTTTTACTTTGCAGAAAAATGATGTCAACCACAACTAATTTAAAAAAATATATATTTTATTGATTTTTTGCAGAGAGGAAGTGAGAGGGATAGAGCGTTAGAAACATCCATCAGAGAGAGATATCTATCAGCTGCCTCCTGCATGACCCCTACTGGGGATGTGTCCACAACCAATGTACATGCCTTGACCAGAATCGAACCTGGGACCCTTGAGTCCACAGGCCTACGCTCTATCCACTGAGCCAAACTGGTTTCAGCCAATCACAACTCTTTTATCTTTTACTCTTTATGCTTTACTGTATGGAAACAGGACTGATGACTTTTGGGGAAAGAATTCATTGCCATGTACAACTTTTTATCCCCTTGGTACCTAGCCATTGTGGGTGCTCTATGAATGTTTGTGAAATAAACATGTGAATAAATTAGACAATAAAAATTACTCTGGATATTTAGTAGGATTCAGCCTTTGAAGGGTTTAGAGTCAGTGGGCCTACGTAGGCCCCAGTCAGAGGAGGCAGGAAGCCTTCTCAATTTCCATCCTTTCACAAACCTACATCTCTAAGGTACCACTTCTGGGACCTAAAGGCTATGCCTTCTCTCTCTTGAGAAAGATTGAGAAGGACCAAAGCTATCCATTTGTGACTCCCCACTGCACAAGATCATGGTGAACAAAATGTCCTTGATCTGGTCAATATCAGTAATAACCAAGTATTACTCTAAGCAATTTTATTATCTCATTTAATTCTCACAACAATTCCATGAGGTAGCTTGTATTATTAAGCCCATTTTACAAATGAGGCCAAGAGTGATGAAGTGTCTGATGTCACAGGGACCTGAGGTTCAAATCCAGATAGCCTGGTTCCAGTGCACGTGGAAACTTCATCACCGTGGTGTGGTGCTAAAGAAGCCTATGCTTAATAAATGCGCTGATCTTTCACTTTGCCAACCTCCACATGATTATCAGATAATTCCATAAGAGGGTCTGAAGTTTAATTCTTCACTATAGTATTGTGATGGACAGGTTGGTCACAACAGATTTACTGTGGGCAAAATGACCCTTAAATTTGGACTGAATATTCAAGACATCTTGCCTCCGTTTTTTAAATGGAGAGCATTTGTACTTGAGAGAACTGTTGGCCATGGCTACATATCTGGAAGAGATTACCATACTTTTATTGTATAGTGAATTATAGGGGACTTCAAGTTTAAAGTTTCCTTTGGAGTATAAGAAACTATGCTACATATGAGTGAGATCATGTCATATTTGTCTTTTTCTGACTGGCTTATTTCACTTAGCATAATACTCTCCAGGTCTATCCTTGTTGTCTCAGAGGAAAGAGAAGAGGGAAGAGATTAACCAAATACTTTATATGCATATGCATAATCTATAGACACAGACAATAGTGTGGTGAAGGCCTGGGGATGGGACTGGAATGGGGAGGAGGATACCAATGCTGGGGGGGAGGGGGGGGAGAAAGGGACATCTGTAATACTTTCAACTATAAAGAAAATGTGCCACATTGCTACTACATTTACCAAAAGTCAGTACAGTAGAATGATTTCAACATCCTCATACTTTGAAGTAGGGGCAAATAGAGTAGTCCTTTGCTTCCCTATAACACACATATTCACCTTGATTTAAGAACTAGCTTAAGCCTCTCCTAGACCTCTTTATTATACAGTTATTAATAAGATTCACTGTGAAGAAAAACAGGTTTTTTCTTTTGGTTATAAAGTAATATCATTTTATGATACCAATTCCTTCAGTGACTCTACTGTGCGTGCACACACACACACACACACACACACACGACAACATATACACACACTCACACATACAAATTGTTAAAGGTAAATATGGAAAGAGATAACATAACTAATCAATCAATTAGTTAGGTAAAAGTTGCTGTACCAACATTGCTTTTTTGTAGAAAGGTCAAACTTTCTTAGGTTGGAATTGTTTCTTAAGTTGGGAAAATCAATTTACTTGTAATAACTTAGAAAAATCAAATGAATTTAAGGAAAAATAAGAAATTATGGATGTGTATTATGTAAAATATAAGCTATCCTGCTCATTCACTGTTACAAAATGTGTGCTTGCTTGTGGGTGTATAATATATAAATATCAACTATCTAGTAGTTGGTGCAATGAGAAATTAATCAATCTTTAGGTTAGAAAGATGCTAATTGTGAAGATTAATTTGGGGAGGAAGTTAACAACTATTAAACTATATGATTCATATAGTAGGCAATATACTGTATATATTCTCAAATTAATGTTTAGATTAGATTAGATTCTCTTTCTAATAGACAATGGAAATAGACATGGGGGATGTTTAAGAAAATGTATTAATGCTATTATTATAAACTTCATTATCCAACTGTGAACTTAACTACTTTCCACCTCAATAGACTCTTAAGTAATGAAGTGGTTGATTTAGGACCACATAGGAAGTCAACCACTGTTTCAAAAGTAGGTGGAATTCTATCCTACAAAATTATTTAAACCTTAGTTTTGGGTGTATTTTTTTTCTCACATCAATGGATATAATAATTCTATTCTCATTGTGGGGATCAGCTTAGCACTGCAAGCACCATTATTTCTAAAGATTTCTACTGGTAAAACATATATAGAGAAGAAACAGAGGCTATTGAAAGAAATAAAAGCACTGCATGACAAAAATAAATTCAATTTAGTATCTAAGATGGAAAACAGTCAAATAGAGTAAGTTGTATTTCTAGTTGCTTAAAATAAAGTTGGGTTGTATTATTTGGGGGGGGGAGTCTGATTTAGAAACCAAATACTAGGGGTTTGGCAATACCTCCAGGACAGCTTTCATGAAAGTGAGTTCTGCAAAACACCATTTCTGTGATAGATTTCATAAAAATAGCACTCCAGAGTAAAATAAGTTTGAAGGAAGCTTTGTGCCATTTTTCCTTTTTCTTAAAAATTCATACTGCATAATAAAGGCTCCGACAAGTCCTGCAGAACCTATCTTTGTTTACCTTTGTGTGACTCCTGTGTTCCCTAATTTGCTTGAATGTTGTAGATTCTCCCCAGCGACAAGGAGGAGACATACAAAGAAAAAAATGTTGCTCTAGTTGCTTTGCTAAGGGCCTATTAAATAAGTCTGAAAAGACTATGGATTTTACCCCCTTCTATGGCACCCTGGCTTCAGAACTATGGAGTAGCTAACTCAAAGAGGTCAGATTCTGGCGGGCGCTCTCTGGAGAGTTCCAGCCCTCTGGCAGGGCTTAGATTTCAGTAGGCCTTAGACTCCATGACAGTGTTCTAAATTCTGAGCTGCAATTTAACTTGATTTTAGCAAAGAACTAAAAGACACTCCCCTACTGTGACCAAAAAAATCCAAGACGCAAAAGAACACATTTGAGGGAGAAAAGTGAGGGCAAAGACAGGTCTGAGAGATGAACATACAGTGAAATACAGTGAATTGATGGATGGGTAAAAAGGTGCAAAAACAGTTGGACTTTAGATCAATATTTGGAAATTCTTCTACATGTTTGTTTACTTACCACTCATTAACTCCTAAGATATCCTTAGAGCAAAGATACCTGATTCTAAACAACATGAATAGCTCAAAGTTTAGTGCCTGTGAACACTAGACTAATAGGAAAAAGACCCCAAAGTACAACTCTTGAAAGGGGCTATTTATTAATACTGTTTAGTTTAAAATAGCCTGACAAAAATAATTATGATTTTATGAATTTGTTCATGAAATAGCACTTGATATATATTCATTGTAAAAGACTTCTTATACCGCTAAGTAAAATTCAAGTTTATAAAATCTTGAAGTGGATAAGAATTCATTTTTCTGGCAAGAGCTTAAAAGGATGATATACAGTTTATAGCATAAAAAGGAGAGGAAATGCCAGAGCTACTTTTTGCAGAGTCCAAATGGAAGGAGCAATGATCCATCAATTTAAGATTATTTTAGAAACAATCTATAATCCAGTGCTACAGATGTTGGACCCCAGACAAAAAAATCCTTGCAGCCTTATGTTTTTCCAAGAGTGAGCTGAATGACTAACTCAAAGAAATTTCTTGGTTGCTTAAAATTACAGCCAAATGACTCAAACTGAAAGAGAGCTGTACTAGAAAACTCAGAATCAATGCTGAATTAAGAAGAATTAAACATTTAATAATAGTCCCGCTCTAAACAGATATATGGATGCAAACTTTCTTTTAAGTTTGTGCTTTGCTTTTACCATTAACAACTTGCAAAGGAAGTTGGAAGCCACATAATTGCCTACAGGACAACTCTCAAGTTATTGGAAGTGTATTAAAGTGCTCCCTGCCCTTTCTCTGCAATGCTGGGATTGTCCAACACACGTAACTTGAAGGTTCTTTAACTTGAATGGGGAAAGTGTGGTGATAAATGTACTCCTACCATCAGGTCACTAGCCACTGTATGTGAAATGCTGATTGTGACTTTGACCATTTAAGTGAAAAGGGCTGTTAAAAAGAAAATAATTTTTCAATGTGCTCAACTTATTTTTCTTATGTGCTATAGCTACTTTGGGGGCAATTCACACTAACAATATGCTTGCTTATCTTCAATGTACACAAGCTATACCGCTGTATACACTGGAGATCTATATCTATATCATCTCTATCTCTATCTCTATCTCTATCTCTATCTCTATCTATCTCTATCTCTATATCTATATCATCTATATCTATATCTATCTATATCTATATCTATATCTAAATCTATATCTATATCTATATCTATATCTATATCTATATCTATATCTATATCTATCTATATACAGTGGTATAGCTTGTGT